TACATTTAATCTCTAATGCCATGATATCGACCTGGGTCTTGTAGAACACTTTTTTGTGCAGTCCTTCTCTAACATTTAAGTAGAGTGTGTCATTTAGTACAAGAAGGTGTTCCGCCTTCTTACGGAACCTAAAGACTTGGTATCTATTCAAATCCGTCTCTAACGGCAGCTTTAAAAGGATGGCCATTATTGCATCATATTCCTACTAATCATTTATAACTAATACCATTAAGGGCTAAAAATAAAGAATTTAAAAAAATTCATTTTCTTTATTTTTAAATATATTGCAGAATTTAAAATATTTCTAACCCACCTTTATTCAACAAATCCCCACTTGTAAAATTATTTATGTAAAATTTTAATAAAACATGCGTGGCAAGTATCGCACTGGAATTCATCTTGTTACATATATTAAAGCATTTGCGGGTTTGATTCCTGTACAAGAACATTTATATATAGGTTTAAAAATAAAGTTTGTTTAGAAAATAAAAAATATCGACGTTTTTAATTTGTAACAAAAAAACCTATGTGCGGCCGTGGCTCGGGTGCGAGCTGGGCTCGCGACAAAAAATAACCCAAATTTCGGTCAACATAGTCAAACAATTTCTCAACATAGTCAAATAAACTCTCAACATATACATTATCAAAATAATACAAGTTTTTTTTAATGAATTCATGCATTGTCTATGTCTGTAGGTGGAACCAAGGCTGATGAAATAATCATTTGTTCTAGATCCGTAAAGTGATCATTTTGATGGGTCATCTAGCGCAAACCGCCTACCATATCAAAAAAGAAAAAAGGGGTTAAAAAACAATTATTTATTTATTTGAAAAAATAATTGCAGTATTTCGATATAAGTTTCAGAAAATTCTTCGGTTTTCTTATTTATTAAATTCCTTTTTTTAAAGGTATATTAAATAAGCGATTAGTTTATGCTAGAACGCTTTACACCGTGTTCTTTTCTCGTTTGGCTTTTCGTATTGGATTAAAAATTTCTCAAAATTGTTGGTATGTCTCTCATCACCTGCACAAAACCCTTCTGTGTGATTAACAACACTATGATCAAGACCAAGATTCCTAATAATTGCTGGATACGACGAAATACAGTCTTATTTACAATACTAGCAGGCAAAATCTGCCCTCTCACAGATGAAGTTAAAGACTGTATGGCTCTGTCGGCAACTTTTAATAAAAAAAATTTCTAGTACTTGTTCGATCTATTCCTCTAAGAACCCATATATTATCTTTGGTTTCGTCATCTATACGTTGGGGCTATGAATAATGCCCCCCCCCCCGTGATGTAACACTTTCATCTGCTTCAACAATTAC